CCCCAAAACCCCAAAACCCCTTCAGGCTTTTATCAAATGAGCAGGAAAAAATCATAAATAATAACTTAATCACTCTTCAAAATATTTGAAGAATTATTATAAATCTTGAAGCAAATCTTACTCACTCTGCTTTATTTCTTTAATTCTACTCTAAATCCATCTTGGTAATTTATTCATAATATTCCTATTTTAAAATCTCTAATCAACAAGTATTATACAAGCATAGTCATTTATATGTCTAATTGCTCTTCCTATTGACTAGTTTAGCGTTTTCATGCATAGATTTTCATAGTAATCATTGCCTTTGAAGCTTTAATCTCCTTGAAGATCGAAATATCGCATTTTCTCTTTTATATCTATGGATTGGGAATTCGCATAAGGCAAACCTACTACAATCACTGTTCTTGCTAAGTCATCTGAAAAGTTTATACCCTCAGATAATTTCCCCCCAATAACACAAAACAGTATTGCTCCTCTCTTATTTTTCGTGATTTCTCTAGAGTATTCTTAAAAGACATCTATTTTCTAATCCTGACTCTCCTCAAATATCTTTCTTTCCTCTTATAATTAAGTCATTATATCATCCTTTTGTTTTAAATAGTTTAAAAACTGCTATTTATATCCGTAAGATTGTAGAAACACTATGACTCCAGCCTACTTAGGAGTGTTCTAAGATGATAAAAGAATGATTTCACACAAATTTGTCATTTGCTATTGATTCGATCTCTGAGAATGACGAAAGTCAAAAGCAATATTTTTATAGTTTGGAATTATTAATCCTTGAAAATGCTATTTCGGAATAATATGATCACAGTTAAATCTTGAAATCTAATCTTAATCGACATACTTTAATAGCAAGTTGAATTCTTAAGAAGGTTCAAGGGTGCCGCTTATAAATATCATAGCCTTTATTTAATCTAGTATTCTTTTCAGTGTAGTGGTTGGATTTAAACATAGATATTAGATTGATGACTGCTAATTTTACTTAAAACTTAGATTTAATATCATTTTACCATCATTAGGATTATGTGAAAGTATTCTTATAAAGTCCCTTATCTCATATAGCACACTCTTATTAAAGGTTTATATATTCTGCTTAGACTAACCCTTTTCTTAATCTAGTTTTATACTTGATTGGATAAATCCATTAAGTTTCCTCACTAAATCTGACTTTTCAAAGAATTCGTAAAGTTTGACGAAATCAACTTGATAAAGATCTGTTTCTATCAATAGATCCATTACATTCATTACCTCTTACTTATCTTATTCAATTTCATTAGGGTTATTTAATTTTTTCTACAAAAAATTATTCAGAATCACCACTACTTTCACAATGTCTTTGAGATACTTATGATTTTTAGGAGATAGTCTAGAACCATACTTAGCTAAAAGGTTATCATAATTTGAGTATATTACTTAGATATTCTTTGATTTGATGGCTAGCAACTTCTAATGAACAATAAGATACTTAGACTGTATTTAGTGAGCAAATAGTCTCCATTATGTTATGAGCTTCATCGAAAACCAGTATCTTATCTAATGACTTTAGTAAAATAGATAATTGTCACATACTGTTCAGAGATATTCCTAGCGAATCTCTTGTCGATTCACTTAAGATACTTTGATATGGTGTTACAATAACATCAGCTTCAGCCATGGCTTTTCTCGAGCCAAAGTAACCACATATCTTCAAGGAGCTAGCTAGATTTCCAATTTCCTCAATATCATGAACTTTATCCTAAAAATTTAATAAGCATATTAGAAAAAACTTACCACAATCGAATCTGAAATAATGTCGGTTAGTTTTTAATCATTATATTCACAGTTGGATTTCTCGGTCAAATCCTGACACTTCTCATTTAACAGTGCACTATTAGTTATGTCTTTGAGTTTTTCATGAACACACAAGCCCCTCCTTGAAATTATAGGCACCACGCTTATCTAATCAGCAAATTCAGTTCGCTTAATTTCATTAATTATCTGTGATATTTGAGAATGAGTTCTTGTGCAAAATATGATCTAGCGATCTTTCGCGGATTATTTAAGGATACTGAAATTTCCACTCCCAACTCCAGAGCTTAATGACTTAGCTTTTTAGGTAATGTTTTTGAGTTTGACTTTCTTATCCTCTTAATCACTATCATATGAGATAATATGCTCATCTCTATTTGTCTATAAATTCATTTGCTGTCTCTCTAGCAAATATTGAATGTTTGTACATTTAGACTTACTTTATTTAAGATTGCTTTAAATTTCTCTAATGTCATTTGAGTTCAAAGATGAGTAGACTCGCTTTTTAAATATTTACTTGTTATGATTCATGGCTTGATTAGTATCAGTTGTGTCAAACATACTCAGCCAATCTGAATTTGTTTAGGACTTTTGCTCTTCAGTCTTTTATTTTCCCGTGTACCAAGTCAAAATGCTGCAAACGAGACTTAGTGATTTACCCTAAAATAGTTTTAGCAATATAAATCTGATACAGTCCCGGTAGGTGATTCAAATAAACCTATTTTCTAATTTTTAGATAGAGTCTCAAATATTTTATCCATTAAATCAAGTTATACTTGATAGGGCTTAAATGGAAATCCATAGGGATGCTCAACCTTGATTTTTTATTAGGTAGACTTTTAAGTTTTCTCCATTTAAATTTAACAGAACCTTAATTTAAATCTGCTTAATCATTAGGCATCTCGGGGTTTTGGGGTTTTGGGG